GTACAAGAAGCAATATTTTTAATTTTTATAAGCAGAAAGTCTTTCATCTCATTTTTCGCTTGCTTCTGGAAATGAGATGTGAATGTGCAACTTATATCTATCTACAGAAGAATCTTTGTTTAGAGTCATGGTTGCTATGCTCACATTTAGCAAGCTTTCACAGAATTCTGCAGAACAAGTAAATATAGTGGTGGCTAGGAAAAAGGACATCATCTATAAACACATCAAGAGTCCTGAAGAAGGGCTTGGATGCCTAAAACATTGCTCTTCTGCAATTATTTCTGCTGTTCTATTAAAATATATTGCCCCTCCCCATAAACCTCACCTCAAAACCCTATTTTTATATATTTCAAAGCCAAAATAGACTGTCAGATCTGATCACCGCTATTGCACTTGCCAAAGAATGTCACCTGGTTATGCCTACAACAAGAATTTCCCATTTTTTGCATCTCCAGTGGATCATATATCTAAAAAAAATTTTTTTTTAAATACATGCCCTCTGACTTAAGCGGAGCTGGTTATTTTGCCTTTGGCACTGCAGCTGCTGTACTTGATCCTCCAATTTGCTGTACAAGTGAAACCTGAAAATTCTTGACTTTTTAGAGTGAATCTCAATCATAAATCTGAAATTCCCAGATTTAGGCAATTATTGGGGAATCTCAGCTTTCATTAGGGAGAAAAGGTATCTTGCTAACTCATACTGTTCTGAAAGCAAATCTGAAAGCCTAAAGACTGAAGGACCACAATGCAAAGCAAAAGAAAACAGCCTTATTAAATTCCACAATTTCTAGACCTATTGCACATTTGGAGGCTTTCAGTTATGATTTCAATGTGTCCAGCTGCTGCAATCTTAGGTATTTGATAGACTATCCTGGCAGAACAGTGTAACATACTTCTTACAAATGAAGCAAGGCAAAGCAAGAGTCACTAGAAGGGTGACACAGGTCACCCTTCCGACAGAACAGGTTTCTCAGGACACTTGGCACTCTTTGGCTTTCTCTGTTTCTTGCGGATATCCCAGATTTCTCCCTACGAGCGTGCTTCCTTTATTGACAGCGTTCTGCAGCTCCAGCCTGCAGTAATCTCACTAGAGATTTTGGTGCTTCCACTGTGAAATCTTGAAGCATTATCTTATAAATAGCCTTTTTCCTCCCTGCACTGATGGGAAGAACACAAGGCAAACTCAAACAAAGCTCTTCTTCATTGCCATAACCCCTCCAAGTCGCCCCCCCCCCGTGCACATACAGACAGACTTTCAAACTTACCTCTTTAATAGTGCTGTTTCTCCCTCGCCATGAAAACCACCATCTTCCACCCTTTTTTGGCATCTTATCTCTCATTATAGATTCCACAGTGGCCTGCGATAAACGAATGGAAGCATGCTCAGGAAAAAAAAAACCCACCAAAAACAAAATAAAACCAACCAAAATAAAAATAAAATGAAATAATAATCTTGCTTCTCATTACCGCAGGGGATTTCCTCTCAGTGTCACCACCGCCCTGTGCAGTAATTGGCATTATCTGTTATCTCTGAAGCCGTAATAAGGTTTGCCACGGGGCACTTTCTCTAATCATATTTTTATTTGTCAGCTCGTGCGATGCAGACGCCAAACGTGAGGCTTGACCAAAGCGAAAGCCCCAGCTGCACAAAACAGGAGCGCGGCCAATGACG